CCCCTCCCTCCCCTATCAATTTCCCCCTCACCCTCCCTCTCTCCTTTTTCCTTTTGCTCTCCCCCTCCTCCCTCCCTTTCTCTCTTCTCACTCCTCCCCTCCATATCCATCATCTTCCTCTCCCCTCTTTTCCTCTTGCCCTCTCTCCTTCCTTCTCCTCCCTTCCTTGTTTCCCCCACCCTCCCTCCCTTTCCCTTCCCATCCTTTCCCCCTCCCTCTCCCTTTTTTCCTTTTCCTCTCCCTCCTCCCTCCCTTTCTCTCTTCCCACTCCTCCCTCCCATATCTTCCCCTCCCTCCCTCCTTCCTTCCTCTCCCTTTTTTCCTTTCCCTCCACTTCCTTCCTCTCACCCATCATTTCCCTTCCTTTCCCCTCCCATTTTTCTTTTCCTCTCCCCCTCCTCCCTCCCTCCCTCCCCAGAAATAACCCAGAAACCGAGCAAGGGAAACCACCCCCCTCTTTTCTTCTGCCCCCCTCCAGATCCAGCCAGACCTTCGGGAGTTGATGGAAACCATGAACCGCATGAGCCATTTACCCCCCGACTTCGAGGGGCGGCAGAAAGTGAGCCAATGGTGAGCTCTTCCCGGGGGGGTCGGGGGGGTAGAAAGGCTTGTGCCAAGGAGACCCTTGCCAGCTTCTGCCCTTGTGTCCCGTTGGTGGGGACAGATTGGTGGGACTGGCCACAGCCCTGGGGGGGGGGGGTGCAGAAAGGAAAGCCAATTCCTCCTGGGGTGGGCTGAGCAGGGGGGGGGCCCTCCCCCTCTGGTGACCAAGATCCGCTTCCCCCTCCAGGCTGCAGACCCTGAGCGGCATGTCGGCTTCGGACGAGCTGGACGATTCCCAGGTGCGCCAGATGCTCTTCGACTTGGAGTCGGCCTACAACGCCTTCAACCGCTTCCTACACTCGTGAGGCCGCCAAGCGCGGCCGAGAGCCCCGGGGGGCCCGTCCCTCCAGAGGGGGAAATGCAACGGGGGGGGGGGCCTCCGCCACGCGTTTGCCCCCGGGTTTCAAAGGCCGCTGGGGGGGGGGAGAGTCAAACGCAAAGGCTCGCGTTTCCCTTCCATCGGAGAAGCCCTCGTTGCGTGGGTCACGTTGCAGGTATTTTCACTACGGGGTGGGGGGCATTGGACCAGCCCCTCCTTTTGCAGCCTGGAATTGGGGAGCAGTAGTAGATTTGGGGTGGGGGGTGTTATGTGTATTTATTTGGGTTTTGCTTTCAGCCTCGGAGAGGCAAAAAATTTTGTGGGTCTGAAGCAAATAAAAACCTTTCTACAATTAAAACGGGCATATATCCGATTTATTCCAAGCGGTGGCCCAGAGGTTGGAGCTCTGGCCTCACCATCAGGAAGCTGCGAGTTGGATTCCCAGGTGGAGGGCAGATATTTCTCTCTCTGGACACCATGGGAATATATCTGCCAAATATAAGACTCCTCCCTGGCGATAAGAAGGGCATCCGGCCAGTAAAACACTCCGCTCCATTCAGTTGCCCAGACTCCACCCCGATGCAAGGGATTACGGGGTCATTAAAAGAGGAGGACGATACCGGATTTATTCAAGAGATTGTTTACTATCCCTCTTCCTCTTCTCAAGGTTGCAAATATAGTTTTACCTTCCTCCACCCCCCCTCCACCCCCCAGGTTAAAAGGGGGCCTCCAGCCCTCCCCGGCGCTACTGACAGCCCCTGCCAGACACAGTGGCATTCAATAAATACGGGACAGTTCAACGCGGGAGGACAGTTCAACGACGAGAACGGTTTAGTTAAAAAGAGCAGCTTTGTCCACGGGAGGGGTGAGGGGGCTTTTGTCCCCCCACCCCCACCCCACCCAAATCCTCTGCAGGCACAAAAATCCTCCACGGTACGAGTCTTGGATTGGCGGCCACCCACAGCCCGTTTTCGACGGGTGGGGAATCTCCTCTCGCGTCGGCTGCGCTCTTCCTATTCTTTTCCACCGGGATCCCTCCGTCGTGGGATGGCGTCGAGTGGCAAGGCAGCCGGGGTCTCCCCGGACCCCCCTCGGTCCTCCCATCCTCTTCGGGGGGCCGCCTGGGCTACAGGCTCTGGCAGAAGAGTTTGTGGTGGCGGGTGACGGAACGAAGGGAGGCGTCGGCCGGGGTGCGCCAGAGCTGGGCCACGTCCCGCTGGTCGCTCCTGCTTAGCTGCCGGCTGCAGAGTTGCAGCTGACCCACCAGGGAGGAGAGCTTCGCCCACGTGGCGGTCTCCAAGGGGCCACGGACAGCACAGCCTAGGGAAAATGGAGGATGGGGGGGGAAGAGGCAGCCTGTTAGTGGCATCTCCTGGGAACTTCCTGTCTCTCCCTGTTAGGCAGCCAAGGGGCTTCCATTCATTTATCTGTATTAAGTTATCACCTAGCTCACTATTGAGTGACTCTGAGCAACGTGCAACTTGTCATAAATCTATATATATATCAAAGCGAAATTACCCCTCACGCATCATCCCAAAATCTCCAGAACCCGTAAAGCCTACAAACTTGAAATTTGGCCTGTAGGTTCCTCTTGGCTTCTAGGGGCTCACTAAGAAAGGTTTGTTTTTAAATGACCCTCAGAGCATTTAGAGTATTTCCTATATTATTATTTATTTATTTATTTATTTATTTATTATTAACACGCTCTGATGCTAAGGAGTTCTACTCCCCCTCCCCACCAGAAAACTTCCAAGTACAAAACACAAGCAGAGGAGTTTCCGTTTGAGTTTCCCAGCACCAAGCAGCTTTAGCACAGAATAGTTGAGCTAAGCCACGCCCAGCCTCCTTGCTGTCCCCGCCTTGCTCACACAGCAAATACTCTTTCCGTTTCCAAACAGCCTTCAACACTCTCACAACTTGACAGGACGCTAGCCGGATGAATTCTGACGGATGCTGGTTGGCAGAGGCAGAATTTCTTCCTTATTTTCTTCTCCCAAAAACTAAGCCTGACCACCTAATTCCTTAGTGAAGCCATGGTTATAGAGCTAGTAACACAATAAAATAGCTACAAAAAAGTAAAAACATCCGAGTGTTGCAAGTTAAAACACACAGCCCCTCTGGGAGAGAGATGGGCGGTTAAAATGTTTGACACATAAATAAAAACGTTCAGATGAACAGCCTTGCAGACAGAAATGGGAAACTTATTTCTTTCAATGGCATCCTTATACTCCACGGAGAAGTAACTCCAGAAGCCAACTGGCAATGGAGAAAAATCGATCTGGAAAAAAATCAATCTGTTCATTCAATGTGTTATGCTTTCTTTCCTGCATATCGTTCCGAGAAGGAAGCCAAGTTGGGCAGGACGAAAGACTTGGGCTGTGAAAGAAGAGCAGGTCGAGCAGTTTCCTTCGTTTTTGTGAAGGACACAAATAAAAGAGAATATTTGTAGCTCGGGGTTGAAATGGATCCTTGGTATTCTCTGAGCTTGGTTGTTTCGTTGCAGACGTTTCATTACCAAACTAGATAACGCCATCAGTGCTTGTAAGGAACGGGATTTGAGCAAACCCCATTCCTTACCAGCGCTGATGGTGTCGGCTAATATGGTAATTGTTAAGGGAATGAAGATTTCATAGCTGACCAGCTGCTGTAAGGCTGTAGGCCAAGATGATGAACTGAGGATGAGCCAGCAGGGTACTGCCGCTTTAAGAAGCTGTCTATATAAGGGAGGCCATGTGAGGACATCTCTCTCTCTCCTCCTGTTCTATCTCCATTGTAGTTCTCTGTGTAGAGTTGAAGGTTGATTGATTGCCTGGTATTTACCTAACACATGTATCTGTGTATATAGTAATCATGTATATAAACCATGCTCCTGGAGTCCAGGGGTGGGTTTCTACCGGTTCTGTCCCACCTCTGTAGAACCGGTAGCTCTGAAGAGCAGCAGACATAGAACCGGTTCTATGTCTGCTGATGTTTTTGCCCACCTGGGCTTTTACCTGACCTTTATTTCCTGATTTTTTTCAACTTCAGCTGCCGTGCGAGGCACAGCTGCAATTTAAAAAGCAGGAAAAAAGGGCTTTTTGAAAGGCTGCTTCTCTGCATGCAGCGTGCTGATGACGATTTACAGGAGCATGCTGATGACGATTTACAGGAGCATGCTGATGACGATTTACAGG